GTGTGTGTTTGTAAGTCTGTGTTTGTATGTGTGTGTATGTATGTGTGTGTTTGTATGTGTGTGTTTGTATGTATGTGTGTGTTTGTAAGTCTGTGTTTGTATGTGTGTGTATGTATGTGTGTGTTTGTATGTGTGTGTTTGTATGTATGTGTGTGTTTGTAAGTCTGTGTTTGTATGTGTGTGTATGTATGTGTGGTGAGATGCGGATGGGGGCTAGTTTCTACTTTCCCAAAATGAAGGTCTTATGTCCCTGTCAATAGCACTGAACATGTTCAAAAACACTCACAAAGATGACACCCCCCTTCCTCTAAGTGAAAATAAACCGCACTTTTTTGCCCTAAAATGTCCCTCTTTTTGTAATAGGCATAAAGCTCTTCACACGCTCAGACATCATTCATGTTATACATCATTTTGAAGATTGTGATATCTAATTTCGCAAAATGGCGATTAAAAAGCCGTTCGGACTTGATCATTGATGTAAATAAGTTACAAGTAATATGACTGTTTCCATTATTATTTAGCTGAGAAGGATGGGTCGTCATGATCTATGCAACTAGAACAGTTTACAACATGTTTAACTAAGTTCAAATTCAAGTTAATCAGCATTTTGGGAATGAACTCCCCTGACAGCGCATGCGCACTTGAACATGCCAGAACTGGTCAAATACTGAAGATTTCAACCGAAGCCCACTCTCTTGGCGTCGAAATAGGGACCGTCCCCCCGGCGTCATACGGCCCTCAACGAGAGTTCGGTAAAAGCTGCTCAATTTCCGGATAAAACTTGAAATCCAACTCCTGAAAAAGTCAAAATTTTGCACGACTGACCGATCGTTGAAAACTGTTGCTTTAAAAAAAAATCAGTCTTGACAAGAGATATATGAGAAAACTGTTTTATGGAGTCGGAAAAGTTCAGGACTTTTTTGGGGGAAGCCAGTCAGCTAACTGCTCGATACAGCCTATGGATACAGCCGATCTGCGTTATCCTCTGGCCTTGACCTGGGCGACGGGGCCAAAAAAACCCACCAAAAAACCCAGACAGAAGACACCATCTTTTGGTTTTACGGCGCCAAACGTCTAGTGAGGGATGCCATGTATTCGGATTCATTCTCGGCGCCGCCAGCCAACTCCTCAGCCTCCGCCCTCGGCAGTGCTGCGTGCAGTCGAAGAAACCAAGTGGTTTTTTAAAAAAGAATATCCATCGCCGAAGGAAGGCTTTTTCAATATTAGCAGTAACAGTATACGAAAGTCTGACCCAGCGATCGTCACCCAACAGTAAACCCATCCCCACAAGCCATTGTCTCCACTCACTGACCAGCCAAAAACCCTCCCACACGACACGCCCTAGTTAGGACGAGCCTTGAAGTCTCCCACACGTATCTGACTAGACTAGGGTTGTACCGTGAATGCAGAAAATGTACGGAAAACTTTCGTTCTAACTTATTCTAAAATCTAAGTAGGCCTACTCATTTTAGTATTTGGTTGTGAATACAAAAAAGCATATTATTATCATCAGCGGTTTGAACAGAGTTCTTGAATATGTACAAAAGGTCTTGAACTGTGTGGAGCTAAACATTGCACGAAAACGACCAAACAAGTTTCTGTATTGTCGTTGTAAACTTGGAGGGATCAATGGTGGACGAAAAGGACTAGAAAAAAACAACAACCAGCTGAGGACTTAGACCAACCTTCCCTGAGCCTGAGAGACAACAGGGTCGACCTTGATGAACAACCGAATGCTGAGAGTGAGACACCAGCGAGGATGGAAGGTAAGTGGAAGGATAATATCACATTGAATTCTTCCCCCCCCCTCTCTCTCTTTCTCCTCCTCCTCCCCCTCCCTCTCTCTTTCTCCATCTCTTTCTCTCTCACACACACACACACACACAAACTTTAACTTTATTTACTTTAAGGGCTTTTTTCTCAAAATGGACTCTATCTAGGGGGGGTGGGAACACAAAAAATCTGTCATTCTAAAAGTTGTTAAGATATCTTCATAATTTTTGGTATACTGCTAGATGAAACATTATTCTAGTGTAATTTAATAAGTAGTGACACCCCCCAAAAATATTGAATAAATGATTTTATTATAAATCTAATCCGTTGTTATAATCTGAGATTTTTGTCATAAAAATATGGAAGGCCTAAAAATATTCCCCCAAGTTTGGAGCTCGATTCTGAACAAGTTTGTCCTCCTACATCAAACATGCCAAGTCCATCAACTAAAGCAGCCATAGAAGGTTGCAAAACCATTTATTATAATATTTTGAAATCATTTATAACCGTATGATTGATAGATTTTTTTTAGAAATGAGTAGGCTACATTTTCTATATATATGACATTCCAATATGGCAGCCGTTACCATAGCAACACATAACAATTTTAAAAATTTTACTTCATGACCTAATTCTCCGCTCTACTTATATTGATGATACCACATAATATTTGTAAGCTTAGTTTCTTCTTCCTAACGAATTTCAATATTTCCCCCGCATCATGCCTCAATTTACGAAGCTCTCTGGTTGGAACGTTGTCATTTCGAGCTGCTATACTACATTGTTGTCGACACACACATTTAGAGCCAGCAGCTTCCTGATTCCTCCTCTTGTAACCCTCTTTTCCATTTTCTATTTTCTGTTTTTTTCAACCGAAGCTTTGATGTGGAATCCAGGACGTGCCAAGCAATCCTGTTAATTTTTTCCAAGTATGTACATTATTAAACTACTGTTTATATAACTGTTGGTCGTTTTTTTTTACCCCAAGATATTGTCTTGAACCAAGCCCGTCGTAATTGTAGATCGGGTTTATTTTTCATTCGAATCGTATGACTGGTTATTTTAAGAGTTTACAGCAGTTTCAGTTACACAGTTGACAGTTGTGTAAAAAGGGTTGGGCCGTGTGTTGTTACACACACAGACAGGAGTCACCGAGTGGGATTGGGAAATACTGAAAAAGGTTTTGTTTTAGTTCCGTGTATTTCGTATCTGGGCAAAACCACCCTGCTGCCCTGTGTGTATACTCTATGCAAGGTTTGAATTTGAACTTCTCAAACAGTTTGCCTTGGCTTGAGGTTCCTATTTTTCAAGTGAGACAAGAAGTGTAATTAATTAATATTATAATATGTAATATATTCTAATTTCAAATCTAGATCTAGATTAGATCTAATATTTAGATCTAATTTAGATCTAGATCTAGATCTAATCCAAATCCAGATTTCTTTCTTGAATGAAATAAAGGTTTTTTTAGGGCCTAAATCTAGGCCTAGACTATTCTTTGAGGCATATAATATAGTCTAGATCTAGGATCTAGGATCTAGATCTATAAGTAAGACAATTTAGGAGGCTTTTGATCTTATTGATATGGTTTGGATTTTTTTTTAGAAGAGTAGATCTACTGAAGTCTAAGTAGAGTTAGAGACTTTAAAAAAGGATTTTTCCTCTTATTTTATTGTTGGTTTGAGTTTGAGTAGGCTACTGTTCTGTTTTGTGATGTGTTGCGTGTGTAGGCATCTATGACTATGTGTTTGTGTGTGTGTCTGTGTGTTTTTAATGTGTTGCGTGTGTAGGCCTCTATGTGTTTGGGTGTGTGTCTGTGTGTTTTGTGAATGTGTTGCATGTGTAGGCCTCTATGTGTCTGTGTGTGTGTCTGTGTGCGAGCGATGTGTATGATCACTTCTGTAACTGGGTTTTTTTTGTTTCATGTGTGATTTGTTTTCAAGTAAGCCTAGGCCTAATTGCATAGTAATTTTCGCGCTGTGGACCAATCGGGGAGGGGGGGGGGGATTTCAGGTTTGCCTACCCCCTGAAGTAAGAATTTTCCCCCGCTTTAACTTATAATTTGATGTTTTGCAATTAAGTTTGAAATTCTCTAGAAAATAATTGATTTGTGACAGTTTTAGTTAGTGGCTATACTCAGACTGCCGTAAGCTGAACTGACAAAAAGATTTTTTTTCTTGGCAGCAGTTTGGAGAAAAAGAATATTTTTTGTCAGCGTAACCTTTGAATTTAAAAAGAACATTTCCGAAATTTGAATTCTAATTCATTAAAAATGTAGTTTAAAATTGACTTTGAGTTTGTACCTGTAAGACATTACTAGATCTAGTCATGCTTGATCGCAACTTCAAGTCACAAAGATATTTGTAAAGCAAGACTTTAGTGTCACCACAATGATTCGTCCAATTTTTAAGCTGGACAAAGAAAATTACTATCATTACGAGGTTCCATTATTTGTCAGGTAGTTCTTTATGAAAGAAGTCACAAGTGACGTGCTAGAAAACTGCGGCACTACAACCACCTTTGAGATGTCAAATGACTCGACAGCAAACTAATGTGACATTAGTCAGTTCAGTGACCATCTGGTGGACGATAATAAATATGATGTAATGCTAATAAATTTCTCCCTGAATAATGTTTCTACCCCCCCCCCCCTTTCCCCATTTCCCATCCGTTTTCCCCTCTCTCCAGCCTGCTCTTACTTGTACACATCAGCAGCTTCTTTGCTCTTGTCAGTACACACCGCCAGCGTACGTGAAGACAGACAGAAAGACATGCTAGGTGATACATTCTATCATCCTGGTCGATTGTACTCCAGGGAGGGGGTGGTGGTGGTGGTGTGTTTGTTTGCTAAAAAGGCCTTGTATGTTTGATGTTTGTATTGACGCAACAGTGACCAACTGCCATTCGTCACCGATGCCATAATTTGCCCGACGGCAGAGACAAGGGGACAACGCTGACCGAGCAGTGATCCTTGACCGATCGACCATTCGTCGTTCTCCCCTACACTGAGCTCTGGCTTGAAGCTTGCCAGTGTAAGGGAAAACGACGAACCCTCAATTACGCAACAATGGAATAAGTTATGACAAAAATGTTTACACACCGTCAGATGCAGAATTAAATACACTATGAAATATAATGTAAAAATCCAAAATTCAGAAATTTTTGACCATTCGTCGTTTTCCCTTACGACGGCAGAGCTTACGGCAGTATATGTATGATCTGCAGAAAACAATATATATATTGCAGTTTGACCCCCAAGGCAGTGCATCTATGTGCGGGAGTGAAAGTAAAAATTTACCTTTTCTCTTTCCTGGCGTAATAGCTTGAAGTTATTTGAGTAAAAAAATGTAGGAGAAGAATAATGTTTCCTTGAACTTTGACTTTAGATGGTGAGGAAGGTCTTTGATTTTATCCTTTCATTTGGTCTTTTATTTACATGAAATCTGGTCCTCTAGCCTGCTTGTATTTCTTAAGATTCGAAAAAAGATTGATCTTTGCTTGTTTATTTCACAGATTGGCAAGGGTTCTGTTGTAGGGATAATCAGATTTGACCTTGACCATGCGGAAACACTTGTGTCTGTACTCGGCAAAGCTGCTGTGGCTGCTGATGCTGGCGGGGCCAATGTGTGAGTCGAAAGTCTCCAACGTATTTCTCAACTCGTACTACCACTGCGGCCACGACAAGACCTACGAGGTAAACCCCAACAGTGGCTACCTGGTCATGCCAGACGTTAGTCCAGACAGCAGAACACACACGTTCAGGGACTGCGAGGTGACCTTTCACTCTGCCAGACAAACTGGCAACCTTTGTGTGTCCCAGGAGGGCTCGCTTAGTCGAATTATGGATTCCAATGCTGAGCTTAGTGTTTACGATGGCTACGGGGATGACAAACCCAAGGTTTTTACGCTGGGGTATTATCCGGACGAGTGGGCGTACCGTGAGGTTTGCACCAATTCTCCGTACCTCCACTTCTACATCCGAAGGAAAGACAAAACGGTCAACGTAAATGTCAGGAATATGAAGCTGTTGTTCAAAGTACTCGACATTGAAAGTAAAGACCGCACTCTTTACTTTGATGAACAATATTGCGACGGGAACTACAAGCTGAAGAAGAGTTGGGTAAATGTTTTGAACAGACTTCCGCCTTCAAGCACAGGTGAAGGAAGAGAAGCCAAGGAAATTTGTGGGTTCGAGCTGGACAAAGAACCGAGAGACGGGCGGCGCTTCTGTGTGGTGTACGTGCCTCTGGAGAATTTCGACTGCTCAAGTGGCTGGGAACTTTCAGTTTCGAGCAAACCACGTTCTCTGAAGAGGCAATTCTTCGTGTTTAGCCTGAGCTGTAGCGAGAGTCGTGCTCGGAAAACGCAGGTTTGGTGCGGGAGCAACTCGACTGACTCGTACAGTCTGATCATGCAGAGGAAGGTCAAGGGCGACTCTGTCGTGGAACCAGCGAGGATGTTCCGCCTCATTGTCACGGATTATGACGGCTCGGTGGAAAGTCTTAGGGCGAAGGTGGAGGCTGAACTGAGGAAGGGACGCCACGAGTCGGAAGGATTGGGTACGGTGTACATCGCCCTCATCATTGCCTTAGTAGTAGGGGGGTTGGTCTTACTGGCAGCAATTGTCTACAAAGTCCGGCACAAGATGCCGTGGTACCATGCGGTCCACAACCCTGGCTCGGAGAAAGAGGATGTGTGATGTGTTGACTCATGACTGGATTTCCTTGATTCTCATGCACAGGAGTTTCTGTGTACCTGAATGGATTTCTTTGACTTTCATGCACAGGAGTTTCTGTGTAGATCTTGTTCAGTCACCTTAAGTCACATGTTTACTGTTATTGTTATTCCCCAGGGAGTTTTTCTGTTTCAACAATATGTGGAGGGTTTCACGACACTCCCCATGATGAGTCCCCCGGCACACGACCTCATTGAGTAGACGACAGTTCCTGCCATGTGGGTCAGGTTTGGTCGTCGGAAAGCTTGGTTTTGCATTCGGGGGGGAG